ATCATGGATGATCATCGAGTTCACTACCCTAATCTTCCCCTATCCTCGCATCCCTTGATCCCTTTAGCCACAAGAACTATATCTACCTCCTTCATGAAAATACACAATGTTTTGGCTTCAACCAGTTTCTGTGGCAATTAATTCCACAGGCTTACCACTCTCTGGGTGAAAAATGTTAGAGTCAAAGAGATATACAGCAAGGAAACAGACCCTTTGGTCCAAATCGTCTATGTCATCCAGATATCCTAAATAAATCTAGTCCTATTCTCCTCATCTGAATCCTAAAAGGTTTACCCGGTAATCTTTAAACCCTGATTCTGGACTCCCCAACCATTTGGAACATCCTTCCTACATTTAAAGGTAGTAAGAACTGTACATAAGAACTGGAGTCAGAGATAACACAGGGTGGAGCTGGAGGAACACAGTGGCCAGGCAGCATCAGAGGAGCAGGATAGTTGACGTTTTGGGTCGGGACCCTTCTTCATTTAACATTTAGCATGTCTAGACCTGTTAGAATTTTGTAGGTTTCTATGAGAATGCCCCCTCATTCTTCTAAACTCCAGTGACTACAATCCTAATTGACTCACTCTCTTCATAAATCAGTCCTGCCATCCCAGGAATCAATGTGGTAAATGGTGAGTTCAGAATTGATTGTTGAGTGGTGATTACCTTGTTTCCATGTATTTGCACCTCATTATTAACTCACTCTGCCTTATTTCCATGCCACTTCCAATTTTCCTCTCCTTGCTTGATGTGCTGCAAATGCTTGGCATGTAAGTCAGAATGGGTACCTAGCAACTGCTGAAAGCTTGTCTCAGCCATCCTCCAAGTGATTTTTCACAACAACGTGTGTCTGCTTCCATGGCTACCAGCGTCCTTCATTCACAAATGTTGGCAGCAGCAAGTCACTAGTTTCACCATATCAGCATGTCTGCTCTTGGATCAACTTACACGTTACTTTGGTCCTTCAACAATTTACTTTGCAGCTTGAGGACACCCACAACCTGCATGCTACTGCCAGGTCACCTTGTTTGTAGGGAGCACACACGCATCTCATGCATTTGCGCAGAATGCAATTTATGGCGATGAGCTTGCTGTCTTAGAGCTCATTTACTTTGTGCTTTCTTTGAGGCTGCAAACTTCTGTTTATTGTGTTGCTTTGTAATGCAGAGACAGAGGCAGACAGCTTATTGCAGTTCAGAGAACCAATCAAGGAAATGGACATATTGTTGTATCGCACAGTGCTATATCAACACCATACCTATAGCATGTGCCAATAGTTTAGGCAGCAAACACACTACCTGTGCTTTAGGTAAATGTCCATGTCCAAGTCTCAAAAGGGAGCAGTCCCTGGTGGAGTCAGAGGGTTCCATGGTCAGTCAGGAAGTACCATAACAGTCAGTCAAAGGGTTTGTCTGATTATTGTACTGGGGATTGACTACAGCCAGTGAGGTGTTTGATCCTACCAGAGTCTGGGAATCTTTGCAATCTAGGAACTGATACACTCAGTTCTGCAGATGAATTGCAACCAGTCCAGGGATTACAGACGGGTCAGTCCAGGTGCGGGGGTGAATTTATTCCAGGCAATGGGCCGTGCTCAGTCAGGTCTGTCCTGCAGTCCGTCTAGGATTGCACTACAGTCAGTTCCGGGTGATTGGTCAGTGATGGTCAGAGGCTCATCAGGAACAGTCCTTTAGCGCTGGGGGAAATGGGTAACTCAATATGAACAAACATAGAAAGAGTAAAAGAACTGTGGATGCTGTAAATCAGGAACAAAAGCAGAAGTTGCTGGAAAAACTCAGCAGGTCTGGCAGCATCTGTGAAGAAAATATCAGAGTTAACGTTTCGGGTCCAGGTTCTGAGCAAGGGTCACCAGACCCAAAACGTTAACTCTGAATTTTTTTCACACATGCTGCCAAACATAGAAAGAGTCCGATTTGAATCTTCTTCAGAACTATTCTGAGGAAGAGTTATTTTGGACTTGAAACATTAACTCTGTCTCTCCCTTCACACATGCTGCTAGACCTGCTAAGTTTCTCCAGCATTTTCTGAGTTAGTTTCAGATTTGCAGCATCGGCAGTACTTTGTTTTCATTCAAATGTGGGAATGAGTTCATTGCATTGGATCTCTGAGGGAATGGTGACAGTGATGGAGCTAATTCTAGATAGTAAGGAGGAAGTTCATCGATTACAGAAATGGTTCTCAAGGTCACTGTTAAGCTGGCCGCTAGATGGGGAAAATGTAAGACCAATAAGGGCATGGAGATTTATAAGACAAAGAGCTCTGGCGGTAAAATTGGGCCTAGTTATACAAAGGCAAGTGAACATAAATGGAGGAAACTGAAAGGTCATGGGGCCATGGGGTCATAACACAGAAGGGAACATAAAGGATTCAGATGTGGGGGAATTATCTGCATCTCAGATGTGAAGCCTGCAACTCATCCACATAAACACAAGGAAAGAACCTTACCAATTCAGATCAAAACTCAACTGCACAATATCTGAACAAAATGATTGATGCCATGTGTAAAGTGGGTGGAGTAAATTACAATTTATTTTCTTCAGAGGCTGAGTAAAATGTCTGGAATTTGAGGCCTTGCTAGGGGCATTTGTAATTATCATGACTGCAGTGATGCAGTAATACCACCCATCTGGCTTCTATTTGCACTTGATCAGCAGGTCATTTATTGTCCAAGAAGGTACATTAAGAATGACGTCTTCGAGCAAACATGACCATTACACATGTGCACTGATTCTTTTTCCATATTTCTCTCTAATAGCAGCAGTGTTGCCCCTAGTTTTTTTTCTCTCCACGGGACCTCGGAGGACCATGCGTGGCAGTGAGTTCCAGAACTGGAAGTCAATGCTATGTTCCATGTCTGCATGCTGTTTGCTGTGCATGGAATGTCAGAGTGGCTGTGCAAGCATCAGCACAACAATCTGCTTAACTTCAGCAGATTACTAAGGAAAGAAAAATGAATTAACAAGGATTTCCCCTAGCAATTTGGTTGGTTATCAGACAAACGTACATATAGCATTGTCACCTTAACTTCTCAATTCAGAAAGCCATTCCAAAGCTAAGACTGGAAGACATCACTTCACAGGTGGTATATTCACACACTGAACTGTAAGTAGGCAAGGAAATAGGTCTGTGATGTGCAAGGATGACTTTTCTTTATGGGGCTATCATGGTGGCTTACTGGCAGAATTCTGCTTTCCTGATCTAGCAAGAAAACTCTGGAAGTGCAATGTATAAAAATATGCTTAAGTACAGAACACCGTAATAAGGTGTACATTGACCTCTTTAGGAAGCCTCTATGTCACACTGCATGAGGGCACAACCTAAGGCTTCATTGTGCTGAATGCGAGGGCTCATGTGTTCTTTCAATAAACTCGTGTAATGTTTCTGACCTTCCCCACGGGCTATATGCTCATGCATCTGACATGGAAATCACTTTGGCTTGAGTTCTTGTGACCTTGCTTCAAATGTGAAGACAGTGTTGAAGGAGACAGCAATTGTAGGTTTGTTGGTAAACCCAGCAAGAACATCAACCTCCAGTTATCCTAACACAGAGGGAGATTCAGCAAGAAGTCAGAGGGGTATGATGAGACACTGTATCTGCAGGCCACACTGATATTTTCTTCAAATGTATTCTAAATAAAAGGCATGTTTCATTTTGCAGTCATCAGGACAATTTGTAACAATACCAATTTAAGGGGAAAACTAACATGTATGAGAAGAGAGTGTTACTGGTTGTCAAGTAGATTTTGATTGATAGAGGCAATGCCAAGCACATCACATCAGTTAACATTGATTTCCAGTTAACTGTCAGTTTTTGTTTAAATTTTAAACCAGGCCGGAAGATTCCGATTGGTGGTACCTCACCCTGAGAAATGAATCAGTGAATGGCTTTGACTTATTTTGTCGATTTGAAACAGGTGCAGAGTGTTGACAAGTTGTTCGGGTGTGCGAATAAACAGGACCATCCGTATTAATATATGTCACTTCCTGTACACAAAAACGCGACATACTCCAAGCCTGGCTGGCAATCCTGAATTGATTGTCAACGTAATTCTTCTTTATGAATAACTTTGACAAAACATGTCATTTTTCAGCAATTCTAAAGTTCCGTACTTCCAAATGAGTACTCGTCAACTCTCCGAAAGACAGTGCAGGCATCAATTTAGGTGTCTCCCATTCCATCATCACCGAACTGTGTAATCCGCTGGCTCATTTCAAGGAGAAACTGGGGGCCTGTGTGGCATCTTCCAAACATTGACACAGAAAAGAATCCAGGGTGTCACTTTATGCCATTTTCTCCAGATCACAACTCTTCATATCCTTCCCGCCCATGACGAGGACAGTTGAGGTTTGGTTGGCTTCCTCCTCAGAGGCAAAAGTGGAACTGAAGAAAGAGAAATCAGGAACCAAAATGATTTGAAACTATAAATCTGTACCAGCACACTCACAAATGTGAACTCATATATCTGAAGCCCCTAAATCACAGGACTCTCACTTAGTGCAGTATATATTTATAGCAAGAGGTGAATGTAATTCTGTTCAAAACTTCACATTGTGCATAATATAAAGCAGTGAACAATCTTAATGTAACATAGCAGGCAAACAATCCATTATCTGACCTTGATGCTCTGTTGCTAATGAAGAGGTGCAGCATGATCCCATTTTTTCCATTTTTTTGTAGGAATGTGCTTAGTCTTTATTCAGTACCTCTGCACAACACTATCGTTCAGGTTGGCATTTACAGTGTGAGGAAATCTCAACCACAAGCCCATATATTCATAGAACAGTAGAGAGATTCTGCTCCTATGATGCTGCTTAGCCTGCTGTGTTCATCCAGCTCTGCACCTTGTTGTCAGAGATTTGAGAAGGTTACTTTTCGTTAGTGGACTCAACATGGAAGTTATTTTTCTTAGGTTATAAGAGGAGAGAAAGGCTGGTGTCCAAATATGAAATAAAAACAGAGTGCTCAGGCCTTTCTTAAAGGCACCTTTATTTAAAGCAAACAATTTTATTCAGCAACATTTTTCATATTTTTAAGCTACATGCACTGCAATATCTCTCTACTGAACATTGCACTGGTGTCACAGGCTGGTTACCTAAGAAATAATAAAAAATGAGCAACTCTGCTATTGATTTAATATGGATGCCTGCTCTTCACAATGAATACAAAAGAGATTCAGCTCTGTTACAGCAAAATGCAATGCAAATACATTTCTGTCATTGTGCAATAGAATATAATTTACCCAGTTGTACCATTTGCAACAATTTCTGACCTGGCTGCTAAAAAATTATAATAGATAGCAGTGTGAAAAGTCAATTCCTTCAGTAACAGTGATAACCTAAAGATTTGCAGTTTTGGAATTAGTTCAATATAAGAGTTCAGTATCATATAAGACACCTGTCTTTCTGATCATCCTTATGAAAACACAATTTCATCAATGAGATGCTCTAAATGAATTTCTATGGCTTTTTGACATTTCAGTTTGTATCATTTAACTCCAGTCCAAAACAAGTCAATACTCAATGCATGGGGATTTATTTTTAAAGCATATCTATGTTTAATGTCCTGTACTGTTTCATTGCTTCACATGATGATATTACTTTTAACTAATATAAATACAATGTGTTAAAGAGCACACAAGGGAACTTTACATAAACACATTAAGTGGTGCAGGAAATGAAACTTGCTGAGGTTCATCTTAAGATAAATATAAATGCTTGTTGACATTCCCAAAGTAGCACACTGTCTACAGATTATTTATAAATACACAGTTAAATTGCATAGATTATTTAGACTGTAGAGGCTAGAAGTTGTTGGGAAGTTGCACTTTTAGAATGATGCATTCATCTGCATGACATTATTCATTTCAACGTTTTGTAGAGTGAAAATACCATATCAATGGTTGGCATAAAGTCCAATTAATCCACGACCAAATACACCATGCAGAAATTTATGGCCAGAGGGATGATTTTGTTACTTGTACAGACAATGTACATTGTCCAATGATAGCAGTCGGGAAATCTGAATAGATGCATTTTGAGTCACTTCTCACCAACTCATCAACAACATCTTCACTGGCATAAAATTTACCAGGGAAGAGCAGAACAACAACCTGATTCTCATTCCTGGATGTATTGGTTGAATGAAGGGCCAACGTTGAGCTCCAGAGCACCATATACAGGAAGGCTACCCATACGGATCAAATACTTAACTACAACAGCAACCACTCCAACACCCACAAACGAACTGCATCAGGACTGTGTTCAAAGGAGCCATAACACACTGCAGCATGCCGGAACTGTGCAAAGCCGAAAAAAAACACCTCCACAGTGTCATTAAAAACAACAGCCACCCAAAAAGCGTCTGCTGGTACTTACTCAACAGACAGCCACAGGAAGACATAGCATGCCTGGATACACTAATCACCCTACCATACATCAAGAACATATCATAGATGACCACCAGACTACTCTGAACACTCGGAATTGTGATAGCACACAAACCCACAGCTACACTACAACAACTACTGACAAAAACAAATGATCCCATATCCACAACTAACAGGACCAACGGTATATATAAAATCCCACGTAAGGACTGCCACAAACACTACATCGGACAGACTGGGAGAAAACTAACTATCAGGGTCTATAAGCATTAACTAGCTACCAAGAGACACAACCAACTATCACTGGTTTCCATACACTTGGACAAAGAAGGCTATGAATTCGACTGGGACAGCATAACCATCCTAAGACAAGCCAACCAAGGGCATGAACGGGATTTCTTGGAAGCCTGGTACTCAACCCGGAACTCCTTCTACAAAGCTGTGGAAATAGACCCCATATACCAATTACTATGAAGCAGAACCAGAAACCACAACCACCACATCAGACTGGACCCACATAAATAACAAGCGGGACAGACCAACAACGCTTCCTCAGAGGCGCACTGATGATGTTACCTAGTACGGTGATGAAACGTCTGCAAACCAACCTACCAGCCCAGTGAACAAATCAACAACCTCATTCACAACCTGAGCTACGAGTCTTCTCAAAAACGTTAGAACGGAATAAGTCATGCAATTGCTGACAGAATGGCGAAGTGTACTGAAATATCACAGCAGAGAGTGATAGAGCAGAGGCACATAAGCCTAGGCTGTTCTGCTTAGGAGTGAAATAGTAGAGGTGAAGAGTTTCCATTTGCAATTAAGAAAAGTCAGGGAAATGTCTCAAAGGGGATTTCTCAACTGCTCACCTCAATAGAGATGACACATCTGAAAGACTCAAGGCAAGGAGGAGCCCACAAGTAAAATAAGACTTCTATATTCTGATTGATAGTCTTTAGTCTACATCCTTCAGTTATTTATAAGGGTTCTAAGTGAAAGGAATTTCTGTTTCATTTCTGTCCCTCTATCTTAGCATACAAAGCTTATGTCATATGATTTCGACATTACATTGGTAATCTCATTTAGAGAGGATGTAGGAAAAGCTGGTATTAGGAAATGGAAGAATGAATGACAGCAGGAACTATAAAAGGTTATGGTTAAGAAATAATATTGGGGTAGTGACGCTCTTACTCTTACTTAGACAATAAACACTTTATCAGTACAGGAGATCATAAATTGAAGTGCTCTATTTTTTCAGCAATTCTTTAACCCACAAGGAAATGCCTGTTAGAAATGGCAGATTTCCTTGAATCCCAGAACGAGATCAACTCGTGTTCGTGTTATTGTGATTTTGCCGACACAACTTTCAAATTCAGCCTAAATTCTGACAGATAACATAACTGATTCTGAGAAACAAAGCTAATTTCTACCCTTTAATGTAAGTGTTCAATTCTAAACCAGCTATTGATCCACTAGAATGTTTGGTTGACTGCTGATCAGAAAAAAGTTAGAACTTTGTGATTGAACCAGAGCTTAACAATGTCATGTATATATTTCTGTTCACAGAGAATCTTCAGTATTCAGTTCTAATGCTTTGTGGTAAATCCCCTTCTCAATTTGAACTGCAAAAGTAAAACATTTATTGTCAACACCATAACTTAATACTGTAACAGATAAAATGCACAAAAAATTAATATATAGAAACAGTAAACTCTAGCAACTGCTATACTTAAATAAAAAATGTTTCTGTTTATTTCAGATTTTTGGATAAATTTGCTTGGAAAAATTCCAATTTTGCACCAGCCTTGGTAAGAACCGTGTGTGCTACAGGAACCAGGTGTGGACTGGAGCCCCTTTTACTCTTTTCCAATGACTCAGTTGAATTGACACTGTGCAAAGTTACTAATGGACCAGGAAATATTTGTGCAAGGTTCCGCTCACTAGTATTTTGGTGAAGGTGCTATTCTGTTTAAAGTAAATGAGTGAATGCCTTCATTAAAATAACAGGAATTTTATTTCAGGTGGGGATCCTATATTTTACTTCATGCACTGTCAACATGATATTTAAACTTAAGCCCAAGAAGTAAAAGGGAGAGTCCTGCACGGCTATGTTCCACCACGTAACAAACACAGGCCCTTCACGTATAAAAGAATCAAAATGCCTATTTTTTATATGCATGGTACACCAACTGGGACAAACACACTCATTATGATATGACCCAGAGATACTTTCCTGTTGGGGAAGATCCAGCAGCTTGTGCAACAATGGACTGGAAGTTTCATTGCTTTTCTGCCTTCCCTAATTAAGAACACTGCAGGTCCTGAAACAATGTGTTTATTGCAGATTCTTCTCTCTTGGTTTAGCTGCCATTAGAATACTGAAAATGGCATTCTAAACAGCTGGAATGACATGGAACTGGACTGTTTCAAATAAAGAAGTTGACCTGGTAACTTTGCCCACTTGCTCAAAGAGTAACAGGTTGTAGAGGTTGACTGGGCCAGTGTAAACTATATGGCAATAAGTGGACAGCATTCAAGGAGAAACTGCAGTCTGAACAACTGCAGGCATAATATATGGATAATGATCTAAACATAGAGCAGCATTGTAGGTATTTAAACAGAGAGTTTGACGCTCTGGGTCAGGTTTCTTCTGATATAACTCTGTGGTTGATCATCAACACCAATTTACATTTATACAGAGATAGTAAAATGTTCCAAGGTTCTTCAATGGAGCTTTGTTACTTAGAATTTGACTCAGCCTCATAAAGGGATTAGAGCAGTTCACCTAAAGCTTGGTCTAAAAGGTAGGTTTTAAGGTTGGCCTTGGAGGAGGAGATATGCATATGGAGGCAGAAAGGTTTTGGGAGGGAATTCTTGAGTTGAGGGACTCAGCAACTGAAAGCAATCATGATAGTGTCAACTGATGGAACATAGTAGTGTGCAAGTGTCTAGAATTGGAGAAATGCATGGATGGTAGAAGTGGGTTTGGAGGTTACAGAACCAGGGAAGGTCGAGACCATGGGTGAATTTGAATGCAAAAGAATGAAGATTTTTAGTTTGAGCTGTTGCCAGACCAGGAGCCAATGTTGGTCAGCAAGCACATGGGTCATGGTGAATGACACTTGGTGAAAGTTCAATACATTGCAGAGCTTTGGATGAGCTTAATCTTATGTATGGTGAAAAGTCAAGAATTCATTGGAGCAGATAACTAAGATGTGGAGAAAATTTTGAAAGTCCATTATATGAGAGTATTTAATGATGACAGTGGTTTCCACACAAAAAGGTTTGGATCCTCAGCAAATCGGCAATTACGATCAGATTAATATCCTGTTTCTACTTTTCAGTGTTTAATACTGCTCTGCATTTCTGATTGGGTCTTCCAAGACCAGCTTCTTCAGAAATGTAGAGCTTCATTGCAAGGTTGGAGCTTTGGGTGATTGGGGAGACAAATCAAGTCTCCCTTTTTACAGCAACAGTTATTGAAAGGCAAGTTGTCCAGTGTGAATGCTAGTTAATGTGTGAATGATGAATGAATGAATGAATAGGAAGGTTGGTAGTCTGGGTTGGTGGGTGAAGTAAATGCGTAAATAAGGAAAGTAGTAGGTGATAGTTTGGCAGGTGCATAACATACTGATGGTATGGTGCCAAGTGGAGAGAGTGTAAAGTGGAGAAAGTGGAAGGTGGAGTGTGTGGTAGGTTGGCAGGTTTGTAGGCTGGCAAGTGGCTAGCATGGCAAGATTGAGGGTGATGCATAGGTGGAGTGGTCGCTGGATAGATGGGTTCATGGATAAATGGGTCAGGAGGTAGTTGGGTTGGATGGGAAGGGGATGTTAGGTCAGGGTCTAATCAGGCTGCATCAGCAGAAAGTGTAGTCTGGGCTGCAAAAGGGGAGATGGAGGGCTCACTGAAAGTGAATGGGGATTTGTTGCATAGTAACCCAGGTAGAGTCTTTCTGTCTAATGTTTCCTGGGTAACTACCCAGCTCAGTACATCAGAATGTCCAAAGTTGTCAATTCTCATTCAGAATAACTAACTCTTAAAGGGAAGTAGTGACATTGCCCACCACGGGGCCAGACTTCCCTGGAAATTCCCAAGGAAGTCGTCAAGTCAGAACCTCTGCAGCATTTGGATATGTATCTTGGGTTACTGATCCGGAGACCAGGAGATCCAGGACAATAAAATTGAAACAACTTTCACTTGAACATTTTGCTGTGTCTTATTCCATCTGATCACATTTTACTTCTTCTTCTTATGAACTAGGAGCAAAAATAGGCAATTCAGCCCTAAACTATGCCCTCTAGTTTTGGACTCCCCTGCCCTTGGTAAAAGACATTGGCTATTTATGCCCCTCATGATTTTATAAACCTTTTTAAGGTCAACCCTCAGCCTTGAACTTCATCTGGCCCCTCCATGACCCTTTCAATATCCCTTTCAGTTCTGCACTATCTTCCCAAAGTTTACAATTCTTCCAAATTTTGTATTACTGGAACCCTGTTCTAACTTGCCAAATGACTGTTATTCATTTGTGAATTCAGTAGAGAGTATTTTATCATCAGGGACCATCACAGCTAAGTCCATTCACAAGCATTTCGTCATCTGTGGATCATACTTCCAGCAGGGGGCAGTAATCAATAGCAGAAGATCCAGCTGTATTTAGTCATCCTAACTCAAGAGATTGAGGCCAATTGTTGCACTCTCCTGCACCCTAGTGGCAAGGAGTTATTTCACCAACCACTTTGATTAAACCTGCAATTTGCTGGTTTGTCCAACTCAGCTGCTACTTAACCAGTTGAACTAGTGAAGCAGTTTAACCATGTTCTAACAACGATATCTTCTATTCACATGATGTCAGCTGCCATCACAGAGGAAGATGGTTTGTGCTGTGCCAGTAAACTCTGTACGTTATCACCTATTGTGGCTCAGGAGTGGTTCTCTGGCATGGCAATCATTGCTGCATTTGCTGCCAAAGATGACAGAAATGGTAAATGATTTATGGGTCCCTATTTTAGAATTTTAGAATCACAGAATTCCTACAGTGTGGAAAGAGGCCATTCAGCCTGAATCTGCACTGATCCTCTGAAGAGCATCCCACCTAGACCCAGACCTCTACTGTATCTGCATAACCTCACATTTCTCATGGCAAACCACCTCGCCTGCACATCCTTATCACTACGGACAATTTAGCATGGCCAGACCACCTTTGAACTTTTTTCAGGGTCAGCTGAGCTTTTCATTACTTCTTGCCTCTTCTAATTCTCCTCCAAACAGTCAGCTTTTAGAAGTCACAATTGTCAGTTACTGTCTTCCAGTTATCAGTGTCGATGTTTGCTGCCTTCATACAAAAGCAGAATGTGCTTGAGAAACTCGGCAAGTCTGGCAACATCTGTAGAGTAAAAAAAGAGATAATATTTCGAGTCTAGTTGGCTTTTTATAACATAAGAACAGGAGGAGGCCATTCAGCCCCTTGAGCCTGTTCTCTGACGAAGGGTCACTAGCCTTAAATTTTAACTCTATTTTTCTCTCTCCACATGGTGCCAGACCTGTGGAGTTAACAAGCATCCTCTGTTTTTGTTTCAGATCTCCAGCATCTAGCAGTTCTTTGTTTTGTTTTTTATGATTTCCTTGCAGTGGAGGAATGGACCAGCAAGATGTTATGATCCAGTGGCCAGTTCATCAAACAATGGATCTTTGGGTTTACAACTGTCATTGATCTGATGATTGTGGCTGACTCACAGGATATTGTTGGTTTGTCAATAAGCTATGCAGGAATTAGCACACTCCATTACTTGTCTTTCCTAAAGATGCTAAAGATAGTCCGAGATAAATAAGGTGGAAACTGTTAAGCCTTTTCACCTTCCTAGTACATGTTGTGCTCACAGTCTATTTTCAGTTGAGTTGCTGTTGTTCCACACTTACTTGGCTTGGATATAACAGCTGCAGCTTTTTCAATGTATATGTTGAGTTCTGCATCAGGTGGCAGATTGCTAGTGATTGTGGAGCCTAGATCCGTGAATTTATCGGGAAGTTCCAGTTGCCCATTGCCATTGCTGATAGATAGCAGTCTGGCACCATCCTAGACCATGACATTTGTCCCTCTGATGCTGACATTCAAATCAAACTCTTCACAGGCATGAGAGAGTCTGTCTATTTGCTGCCGAACTTGTTCCTCATCATGGGCGGCTGGATTGGGACGTGTTGGAAATTGTACTGGCCTGTGACAAGTTTGTACATGTGGTATGTTTCCATGTCACGAAAACTCAGCAATGAGAAATAATTTTCAATCAAGTCCCACCTTCAAGATAAAGTTAGTGGCACATGAGAACCTTGTGGCACCTGGTTTACCATTATTTCAAGATGGTGTGCAGCTATGGACAGTATGTAGGAGATCATCGACTTCCCTACTTTCTCTCTGTAGCACAAGGTGGAGGAGAATGGATTCTTACATAGAGGCTTAGGATTAGTAAAGGTCTGTGGATTTATGGGGTGGGATCAAGGACATGGAATGTTTGAAGAGGAACTGGGAGACTGCTACAGAGGATGGGGTAGAGAACATGGACGAGTGAAGTGAGAAGGGTTTGCTGCCCTGTGTGCGATGTGGGGAGCAGGCACAGTTAGTGAAGGT